GAAAGCCCTTTGGCTGGCGGCCAGAGTCCTCCTTTCCCAGCAGGACCTGTCCTCCATGTTAGCCTTCTGTCCAGGAGGAATCCCAAAAGGTCCTCCCATCATCCCCGAGGAACAGGGATTTCTCGGGACGTGAGGGTTTTGCGGCTTTTCTTTTGCTCACGTCCTCCATTTCCCCCTGCAGGTCCTCCATCTGGCGGTGAGGAGGACATCTGGGCCTCCCTCCTGTCCCCCTCCGGCTCTGGCTGCGGGTGAGATGTCCTCCTCACCGCCAAATGGAGGACCTGCAGGGGGGAATGGAGGACCTTCCAGGCCCATGGAGGACAGGACCCACGAAAAGCTCCAAACACTTCTAGAAATGAAAGTCCGACTTTTTATTGATGCTCCAAAGAGAGTTCGTTTTGGAATTCCTTCCGGACAGGAGGTGGAAATGGAGGACCTGTCCGGGAAAAGCAGGGGGCCGGAGGTCATATCCACAAAGGAGGACAAAGCATTGCAAAATGGGGGCCCATCAAGGAAAATGGAGGACATTACACAATAAAAGCCAAAAAAGAAATACTCATAGAAACATAAATGAGTGCTTTTTATGGAGGGCCTTTTGGGATTCCTCCTAAAGAGGAGGCTGAAATGGAGGACTTGTCCTGGAAAAACAGGAGAAGATGTCATAGACACAAAGAAGGACTCACTAAGGCATTGCAAAATGTAGGACTTTACTCAAATAAATTAGCGCTTTTTAGTCCTGGTTCAAAGGGAGGACATTCTGGATCCCCAGCAAACTACCATTCCCAGAATTCCACAGCATGGAGCCAGAGCAGTTCAAGTGGGATCAAACTGGGTTATTTCTGTGCAATGCGGATCCTCCGTCTCCTGGAGATGATACTAAACAAGGCAAGTGATGCGTAGGTTGGAGGAAGAGGAGGAAGATGTTTTTCTTCCTGGCAAGAGTTGTCCACAGGGAGTTTGCCATTGCCTTCCCCTGAGGCTGAGAGAGTGTGACTTGCCCTAGTTGTTGTTGTGTGCCTTCAAGTCGTTTCCGACTCATGGTGACCTTAAGACGGACCTATCCTGGTTCAGAGGGAGCTTGCCATTGACTTCTCCCGAGGCCGAGATCCCGCTGGGTGATCTTGAGTGAGTCACACCCTCTCAGCCTCATCGCAAATCTCCTCTGAACAAATGTTGCCAAGAAAACCCCAACATATAGGGGCGCCATCAGTCAGAAACTACTTGAAGGCACCCAACATCAACTGGGTCAAGTCACACTCTCTCAGCCTCAGGAGAAAGCCATGACAAACCCCTTCTGCACAAACCTTGCCAAGAAAACCCCAGGATAGGGTCGCCATAAGTCAGAAAGGAACTGAAGACACACAGCAACAAGAAGTTGGTTCCCAAAATGTTTTTTGAACATCAGCTCCCAGAAGCCCCAGCTACCATGGCCAGCAGTCAGGAATTCTGGGAGCTGCAGTCCAAAAGATTGGAGAGCCACTGATCTAGAATCACACAGTGAACAGGAGTTTGAGAGCTAGTCTCACTGTCATGCCTCCAGACTACAGAATCCTGGGATTTGTAGTTGGGGGGAGTTTATACTTTGAGAGGTCTCTTGCAAGCACTCCCCTGAACTATAGCTCTCTAGAAATGAAGTCTAAGTACCTCCCCAAACTACATATCCCGGGATTCTGGAGGATGAAGCCACGCTAGCGGTGCTATAATCCCGTTAATTACTCCAAGGGCTGTAACGAGGGAGTGGGCCTCGTTCCCAGGGCAAACGCGTTCCCGGCTTGCGTTAACGTTAAAGGGGGCGATCATTTGCCTCTGGAGGCAGGGCAGAGTGCCCGGACGTCCTCCTTTTCCCGGACATGTCCTCCATGTCCACCTTCTGCTCCAGGAGGAAGTCCGAAAACTTCTCCCTTTGGAGCTGGACTCAGAAGCATGGATTTACATTTCTAGGAGTGTTTGGAGCTTTGATTTTTGTCATGGTCTCCAATTTTTTTCTTGAAGGTCCTCCATTTGGCTGCGCCTTGTCCTCTTTTTTGTTCCCCGGACATGTCCTCCATTTCCACCACCTGTCCAGGAAGAAATCCCCAAACGCCCTCCATTTTGGCCTGGACGAAGCAGCATTGCCAGGAGTGGTTTGAGCCGTTTGTTTGGCAACGTCCTCCCTTTTTCTCGAACGTCCTACATTTTGCGGCGCCTTGCCAGGGGGGAACCAACCGAACAGTCCTCCTTTTCCCGGACACGCCCTCCATCTCCACCTGCTGTCCAGGAGGCATGCCAAAAGGTCCTCCCTTCTGAGCATCATCACTAAGAAGCATGACATGATGTTTGTAGGAGGGTTTGGAGCTTTTTTGAGGCCTGTCCTCCCTTTTCCTCGAAGTTCCTACATTTAGTCCTCCTTTGCCAGGAGGGCGGCCCTTAAGGCAAGTAGGATTAATATGGATCCAGTGGATCCCTCCTAGAACCGGATCGATCCTCGCAAG